CTCAAATTCATCTAAACATGTTTATCATTCAAAGTCTGTAGCGGATATATAAAAGTGACCATTTTAAGCAAAAATGTGGGTGAAAACAAATAAACTGGGACATTTGTCCTATTCATCTCTATGACAAAAAGTGTCCCAATTTACATGTATTCAACTTAAATAAATTATTCACACATCTAGTGCAATAATATTCATAAAAAACATATATTTTTTCATAAACCACCCATAATCCCATTTAACTAGACACTTTTTACAATGCTCAAATGCACTGTAAAAATTATTTTTCCAAGTTGTAAATAGATTACTTGTAATCTATTTTCAAGTAGATTTTTCAATAGATTACAAGTAATCTATACATACTTGTATGTTTTAAAAGAAAACACTATTTCAGTCTTTAAAGAGTTTCAGTCAGTAATTAAAATGTCATTTAATTCAATGTATTACTTGCCATTTCTTTGTAATTATTTGTGAATTTACTAGAAATTTCTCAGTGAAAATTGTTTCAGTGTAATAATGTCGCATAAATATTGAAATCAAATCATTGTCATTTTTAGTGCAAACTAACATTGCACAATAACGGCACAAACAAAAACGTGTTTAAAACACATTTTACAGTAATCATAGCTGCAATAATTCATTAAATGATGGAGAAGAGCATTATTTACACGCAGCATATGAACAATGCCCCTTGTCAGAGCACAAAATAACCCTAATCCAAACACGAAAAATACACATAAACAGCATGTTTCGTAGCTAAAGGCATCTGCTACTCTTATCTGAGCTGCTTTGACAGGGTCGTCTGTTCTGCTCTGAGATCTCGCTAGATATATATCTAGATATCTTCTCTGTCTCCCTCCCAGCATCTCTTCAGAAAGACTGTCCTCATCTGTTCCCTCTCCACCAACCCCTCTGAGTCTACAGCACAGTCTGGTGTCCTTTTGTTAGAACTCAAGCTGTTTCATAGCCTCTGTCACCAAATGCATTGAAACAACCAGTCAAAACAGAAGTTACAAATGCTTCATCCTACAAAATAAGCATACTGTATATTGTATACGGACTAGAGCCCTGCATGGGCCTCAAATATAGGCCCTAGCCCGGCCCTGGCCCGAGATGCTCAGGCCCTAGCCCGGGTCCGGGTCCGACAGCTCATCAGAATTCTTGGCCCGAGTCTGACCCTGAGCCCGTTTTTTTCCCCCTTCTCCCAAAACAGCTTATACTACCGTTTCAGCTATTAAAATAGTTCAGTTTTGTATGTAATATCAAAGTGATTATATTTCGTTTCGTTTTTTAAGTTCATTTAGAAAAACGTTTGGAGCATTTTTTTTCCCGTTACATGTAAGTTTTTGTTTTTTAAAGTAACGACCAAGCGGCCAGCGGCAGACATGCAGTGAGTTGATCATAGCCTATGTTTGATCAATTTAGCCTTCTCAAATCATCACAACTTGCTTAAAAGTTAATCTACAGATATAAAACAGTTCAAGCATATCACAATTAGGGCTGCACAATTAATCAAATTTCTAATCGCAATTACAATTACGTAATCGTTCAACGCGGCAATTAATCGTTCAAAGTCCACTTATGTTATTCTGTGTGCTTAAGATGTTTTTTTTTCTTTCTACAGGTAATCTTAAGGGTTTTTCCACTGTTTTATTTCTATAACATTATAACATTTGAGACTTAATGCTATAGAAAAGCAATAAAAGTTTTTCAGTTAGTGTTTTCAGCTTGTTTATTTTCATCGGTTGCTTCAAACAGTGGTATAAACATCATTCAATGTAAATTGTGATAATCGTAATTATTAATCGCAATTACAATTTCAAGGGAATAATCGACAATTATGATTTTTATCATAATCGTGCAGCCCTAATCACAATGTTAGTTTAAATGTTTAACCTATATAAATGTGTGCTATTAGACGCATATCTAATCGTTTGTGCGGAGAGCTAAAGCACGCTTTACAGGACATGGAGGCGCCGGCGCGATCACTTGCATTAGAAACAACTTAAAATATGCCGTAATTTTTGCTCATAAAGGTAAGAATAATACATCACTTGGAACTGTAAAGGGTCTACTTTTATTTGTGGGCACTCACAATATCAACAAAACGTTGTGCTTTTATAAAATAAAGGATACATACAGGATGCGCTTTCTGCAATTTCGGCTAGGAACGCTTCACAATGATGAACCGAAACTCAGCGAATACTTGCCTCACAGACTTGCTAAATATATCTATAGAAAGCTTTAAATTACCACATTAAAATGAAATACTTAAAATCGAAAACAAAAACTCTTTCATTATAAAATCCGTAAAGATGCATTTCTCTCTAAAGGCGCGTCCAATGAG